GGTCAGACACCACTTAATGCGGCGTCCTTAGAAAGCCACGAAAAAGTTGTGGAATGCTTAGTGGAACATAGAGCCGAAATCAATCGTGCCAATAGTGATGGTTGGACACCGCTTCACTCAGCGTCCTCGAAAGGCCACGAAAAAATTGTCGAATGTCTAGTGAAATCCGGAGCCGAAATCAATCGCTCTACAAATGATGGATGGACACCGCTTAATGCAGCTTTTTTGAATGGCCACGAAGAAATCGTCCAATTCCTAGTGAAACACGGAGCCGAAATCAATCTCACTAATGACGTGAATTGGCCATCACTTGACACAGTTTTGTCGAATGATCAAGACAAAATTGTCGAATGCTTAGTGAAATATGGAGTTGAAATCAATCGCGCCAATGATGATGGCTGGACACCGTTGCATGCAGCTGCTTCCAACGGCAACGAAAATATGGTCAGACGACTAGTGGAATGCGGAGCCCAAATCAATCGGGCTGATAAAAATGACTGGACACCGCTTTACGCAGCTACCTCGAACGGCCACCAAGAAATTGTCGAATGTCTAGTGAAACACGGAGCCGACATCAACCGCTCTAATAGTAAAGACGAAACACCCCTTCACGTCGCTTCCTCGAAAGGCTTTGAAAAAATTGTCGAATGCTTAACAAAATTCGGAGCCGAAATCAATTACGCTGATAAAGAGGGTTGGACACCGCTTTACACAGCTTCCTGGCACGGCAACCAAAAAATTGTCGAATATCTAGTGAAACACGAAGCTGAAATCGATAAATCAAATAAACATGGTTGGACACCACTTCACATAGCTTGCTCCAAGGGTCACGAAAAGGTTGTCGAATGTCTGGTGAAATGCGAAGCCGAAATTAACCGCGTTGATAATCATGGTAGGACACCGCTTTATAACGCTGCCACAACAGGCCACGAAAAAACTATCGAATATCTAGTGAAATGCGGAGCCGAAATCAATCGAGCTGATAATGGTGGCTGGACACCGCTTTACGCAGCTTCTTTGAACGGTTACGAAAAAGCTGTCGAATGTCTAGTGAAATGCGGAGCAGATGTCAATCGTCCTGATAATCAAAGTCGGACACCACTTGACATAGCGTACAAATATCAGCACAGAAAAATAGTAGAGTTTCTACTACTTAATGGTGCAACGAAATAATTAAATTCGCAATCATTTTAGGGTATTTTTGTATTTCGTTACTTGTCAAATATGTTTCAATAATTATAGGGTAGATGTAGGTTATGCAAGCGTGCCGCCTATCACTTTATATGTACGACAGAAAGCACTTGCATGTGTATAACTATAAATTCTTTGTACCCGTTGTTCAATGAGAACTGTCAAACTCTAGGCATACTTTCAGAATGCCTTTAGAATCATTTATAAAACCCCCTAGAACCCGTGGCAAATTGTTAACTCAGTTTTTCCTATCACATTTTCCAAAGCCCAAAATTTGAAGTAGTTTAGTTATCTATATTTTATTTTTCAAATACAATGTTTTTCAACTGAAGTGCAGGTTCAGTTTTTTTTATTAATTTATATATGATACTCCAGTACAACCACAGATCCTTAGTCTCTGGGTTGCTACAACAGACTTTATTCTTGTACACCATTTTTTACCTAAATATTTGTTCACAATTTTTTATTAAAGAATTTTTTTCGATTTAGGTTTTGTAGTTTAAAAGTATTTTTATTAATTTCAGTTGACTTCGCTGTGTAAATATTCAGCTTTATTTTGCTCTCTATATTTTACTTTTCCGTACAAAACCTATTTTTTTAATTAATTGTTAATTTTATTGTAATTATATTTTTGGTTCAAAGTTTTCCTAATACACAACCATTGTAAGTTTAAGTTTAATTATCGCCCCCCTTTAAATTCCAATTGTTCCCTAGAATATGCCAAAAGAGTATCTACAGTGAAATATTCGCTTTTTCCATTAAGTTGCCAAATTAGTCGTTGCAGGTCTTTCCGAAACATATAATTTGTAAGTAAATCCCTTGCTTTTCGCTTGCCATATAGTGATGTTTTTAAATTTTGGTCCCGTGTTGATAAAATTTTCGCCACAGTGATGTTCCCAGCTATGAGAAAAAAAATTAAAAAGTATGTTCCAGCGTATTTTTACATTACAGAAAATATGTTCGAGACCCTCATAGTTACTTCTTCGAAAGAAAGATCGGGCCTGTCTTTCCAAAACTGCAAAAAACATCTTTTTATTGCAATTTTTTTTTGATTAAAAAATTGCGTCTAATAATTCTGATCTAATAAATGAAGTAGAAAGTGGCAATTCATCTCAAAGGAAATGTCAATCAGACTACACAAAACTAAATCATCGAATCAGTTTATCCAACTTAAAGAAAAAATATCAAAGCCTACTTTACTATATAAAGATCGTAATGGATAATATTTCAATTACTTTAGGCACACCAAACAAAATAAAAGCAATAAACTCAGATCTTAATCTTCAAATTGGAGGTACCATTATTTCTTCTGCCCGAGTAGTTAAAAGTCTTGGACATTCGAGTTTCAGCTATCGCCAAGTGTAGTATTCGTGAACTGTGATGTCCGACTTAACTTTAATAAAATATCTGTTTTGAAAGCGTAGTTCTTATAACATTGCGTTTGTTTTGAAGTGAACCGCTCCCTGGCAATCGTAAAAGTTATGTAAGTATTATGGTTGTTTAAGGATGTTTTCAAAATATTATTTAGTATAGGGAAAATTGAAATTACCACATCGGATGTTATGTTGTAGACTTAAAAATGATAAGGTTGTCTAATAATAGATATGAGTACACAAATGTGATCCGTTTTTTATGTGAACAGGAAAGTGGAATTCGGAATACCGTTGAATAGGAGCCTAACTTTCAAGGCCAATTATTATTTATTTGTACATCATTTGGCGTAAAGGTTTTTATAACTATTACTGCAGCATGACTTTGGAATACATAAATCCGTTTCGATTGTGATGAACAAGCTTAAGAAGACAGTCAGACCAGGAGTATCACGACAATGAAGTAAGAAAAATTTTTTTCGACAAATAACTAGAGCACAACTTTTTCTACCTCTACCTATACCTAATTTCACTAGATTTGTGCAATTGGTTTCCAAGATATTTAACCGTTTCCATACATTCTAGCGACCCTGTATATGAATGAGCTGATAACACGAAATTATCTTAATTCCGCTTTTAGAATGATATCGAATCGTGTTAAACAAAACGGTTTCAAAGGAAACAGACTGTTGCAATACGAGTGAGTAACAAGTTCAGAGCAATAATTGTGAAGTAATGCTGTAATTGTGACATTATAAACGTGGACTTCTTGACCGGTAAGTTGAAAATTACGGTTAAACTGTAAATATATGAGTATTTATATTTCCTAACAGTGTTCAACCTTTGTCACTGTCAAAAGCTTACACCGATTAGAATTTTGACAGAATGTTTTTTCATCAGATACAATATCTGGTTGACCGAGTTTCACTCGGCTCGTTTGGTAGTATTAGATCAGATTAGGACAGATAAATATGCGTATAGTATGCATTTTGAAGTACACGCGCTAGTTAAAAATACACATTAAAAAAGAAATTCCATAAGCAGTCTTTGTTTTAAATAGTGATGAGTGACATGTAGAGATTAAAGAATGGAAAACTGGAATTATTGCTTGACATTTTTATTAAAATCTCATTTGTTACCCAAGTTCTCTCTCTGTCGTTCTCTTTTTTTCCTAGTTCTCTCTCTCGACTCTAGAAAAAGGTCACAACCACTTTCTTACTGCCAGAATGGTTTCGCCTCTGGTGTGATTAACATACTGAGTTACCGTGCTCTTTTGCGTTATTCCTAATTTCTCAATCTCAACCCTGCTCCCGAAGATGCCACTTACGAAAGTGTGCGAAAAGTTGAGCCCAAAAACTGAAATAATACGGTCCCATCCCGGAAAACGATCACATATTGACCCTGACCGTCGAACCTCTGAAATGAATGCTTGACAACATAACCTTAACTCAACGCACTTTCGTGTGCCTTTTATCCGCTCACTGTTTAGTTTTCCGTAAATTTTGTTACCTCAGAGGGTGAATTTTAACGTCCTCTATACAGTGGAGTATGTTTCGGTACGTACAATTGAAGATAAAAAGGTACGTCAAACGTACTGTCAGACTGTCACCCAAACTTCTCTTATAAAACAATCTCGTGTTCGTGTAGTGTCATCCGATGTTACCTAGCAACGAATATAATTCACTGCCTGAAAATTGCTGAAAATGTATGAAGCTGTAATTTTCAGAAGTTAAAACTATGATGAATCGATTTCTTGACCCAAAAAACCCCCAACCTGTAAATTTCATCGAAATCGTTAGAGCCGTTTTCGAGAAACCCATTATATATATAGATATATATTTATATATATATATACAAACTTTGCTCGTTTAATAGTATAAGATTCAACGTTGTTGTCATGGACTCGAGTTCCGACGAAGAAATCAGGAAATTGGAAGAGCAATTAAAACGAAAAATAGAGCTAAGAAGACGAAAAAAACACGAACAGGGAAATAATAGCGTGTTACGCAAGCAGTCAGATGAAGAAAATCCGGGTTCTTTAAAAATGGTATTAAGTATAATTATATCTTCTGGTTAGAATAACTCGCAAAGAAACACGAATATGTAGAAATATAACTTAAATGTCAAATTTAATGAAAAAGTATTTTTTCCAGCAAGCAGAAGTTAAGACGTTTGTGGACAATCAACACAATCCAACTGAAGAAAATATGCAGCCAACGGAGACAAAAAATATAGATGCAGAAACAACAAAGGCAAATATCTAGTAATTCTTTTTTATAATAAGCTAGTTATGGTCTTATTTTTGTAATTAACTGTGGAAGGAAGGAGAACTAAAATGAGACCTTCTAATAAATTTTGTAAATCTCGAGTTGGATTTTCTTTGCTTATATCATTATTATAATTTGTCTGAATTTAATTACATTTTTGTTTTGTTTCTAGACTTTTAAAAAAAGACTTGGTACCACCGATAAAGGAAGAAAGTACGAAGATATGATTACGACTAACATTATACTGCAAATGGTAAGCGACAGTAAAATAAGAAATTTCTACGTTTCGTCGAACGATGCAAGTTTCGGTGACTTCGACGATGTAGTTATCGAAGTTGACACAGATCGAGGAAGTCACACCAAAGCAATACAATTAAAACACACCAGTCGAGGAACATTAACCAAACAACAACTATTAAGCAAAAAGGGAGATTTTAGCATAACCAAATATTTCAACTCCACCAAAAACATACAGGACAAAGCGCAACGATTTATATTATTCACCAACAAGGAATTTAACATTGCGGATAAAACAAAACTTAAACTCGAAGGAGAAGAATTTCACATAGAGTTGATTAAAGTGTCAGCTTCAGAAAACAGTGCCGAGGATTTAGGAATCTCTAAAAATATAAACTATTGGTATAAATTTCAAATCATGGGAGAGAAGTGGAGTAAAGAAGACTTCGAAAAAATTCAGCAATACAAAACATTCTTCGAACGATTTCGTTTTTACACTAACCAAGAACGGTTGGAAACTGTTACAAAATCAACTATGGATAGATTTACTGAGATGTTCTGTTCCAACGAAGAAATATTCGACGCTTATTTTAAGTTCATTTCGGAATGGAGTTTGAAAGAAGGGCTCAAGGAAAAACTAAGCAAAAAATTTACGCAACGTTTAATTGCACTTCGTTTGCTTTCTCCTTATATTGAACCTTTTGCTTTTGGTCCAGTCAGTGACGATATGAGGATCCTTCGAGACGCTATTTATCAGTTCGACATCACGTTATTGCTGAAAGAAGGCAGCAACGAAGTTAAAAAATTGTGGGGCGACTTGAACAAAAATATTGATCTCAAAGAACTAAACAAAGTTCGATCACAATATTCTCTTTCCTCTGTTAAAGTAACTACTTTCGAAGATCTGGACGATAAATTGTTGACGCAGTTGTTATGGTTGATGGACAAATGTCCGTTAATTGTAAAAGAACACAAAAATATCGAAAAAGCTGTTCAGCTTTGTCGTGATAAAAAATTCATTTTACTTAGTGATGGAGGGTGTAGGGAATGGATTGAAGATTGTTCCGTTTTTCAGAACTTGTCACATTTAGAGTCAAAACTTGAGTTACATGATAAGGTGCTACAAAATTTTGCCGTTTCCTTGCAGGGAAAAGATGAAGTTAATTTGAAAACTGCTTTCGAACAAAATGAAGTGTTGTTAAAGCACGTAACGGTAAACGAACTTTTAGAAATGTCAAATGGTCCTTTCTGTATAGGTGGACAAAAGGAAGCTTTTCCCAATCTTTATATCGAAAGAAATTTATCGGTCAATGTTATTGATATTAAATATTTAGAACATGTTAATCAAGACACTTTTATCATTATCAATTGTGAAGAGAATTCTGAACAGTTAAAAATATCCAGAGAGCATACTCTAATTGATATAAACGATTTTATCGCTGCTGTAAATTTCGAAATTTTCCAGACTCCTGTTTTCATAGTGAGTAAGAATAAATGTAGCGACTTTGATTTTCAGAACGTGTGTTCTAAAACACTGGGTTCCAAAATAGTACATCATTTTAAATTTCTTGATAGTCAAAATTTAGAATGGATACGAAGTAACGGTGATGTTGGTGAATTGCAAAATTATAAGTTAAATAATCATTCCAAAAACGAAAAAGAATTTTGGTCTTTCGGTTTCAGCAACCACATTAATCTAATAACAGACGACCCGGGAATGGGGAAAACTGAGTTAACAAAAAGTCTAAAAAACGGTTGTTGTTCTAAATATTGGACGGTGATCATGAATCCTCAAGATATTAATTCATTGTCTAAAACTTTACAAACTTGTGAGGCATCAGATTACTTAAATCGGTTCGAATTATTCATCTTAAGCCAAAAATATCAACATCTTGGACAATTAGATCTAGAATTTTTCAAAATGTGTTTGAAGCAAAACAACGTCGTCTACGTGTGGGACGCTCTCGATGAAATTTTAACCAAAAATTTGGACGCTGCTTCAGACTTGATCTTTATGTTGTCGCAAAAAGGTTTCGTTCAGTGGGTTACCGCAAGGCAACACTTGAGGTCCTCTCTTGAAAAAAAATTTAACGTGTTGTCAATGAGTATTAACCAGTTGAGCGACAGTGATCAAGAAGAGTACATTAGAAAACGTCTTAAGACTGTTGTTTCCTCTGGGGATATGAAAAGAACGATCGACAAAATTAAATCCACGTTTGCATTCACAAAACATATTGATATTTTGGGGATTCCTCTTCAGATTTTTATGCTCACAGAGATATTTCTTCAAAATGAAGATTATTTAGATTTGTTGAACAGCAATTTTCTCTTTACTGATTTATATAGCCATTTTATTGATGGAAAATTCAAGTTCTTTTTCGGAGGCAAAGTGCCGGTAATAGGTTACTACTGGGAAGAAGAAGTCAGAAAGAAGAAAGAAGAAAAATTAGAGCAGTATGAAAAGTTCGCACTTAAATTAATTTTTCCCGAAGACATTTTTGAAGAGTTTAAGATTGATTGCTCACAAGATGTAAAGGTAGTTTCTGAAGATTTAGCAACTGTTGGTATCATCACTGGACTACAAAACGGCATTCCGCAATTCGTGCACGCTTCCTTTGCCGAGTATTTTGTTGCTTTGTATTTTTCTAGAAATTTTAAAATGATACGCAGGGACATATTTTTTGATGCAAAGTATAATAATGTACGGTTTTTCTTCGACATCTTAGTTGGTAAAAAATCACCGGTCCACATTGCGGTCTTGTATAAAAATTTTAACGAGTTAAAGAATTATGATGACGAAACAATAAAGAGTAAAGACGACGGTGGAAGAAGTGCCTTACATCTCATTTGTTCTTGGGGACAAAGACATCGACGTTTAGATGTAGAAGAAAGAGATAATGTTTATGTAGTCGAGAACGATTGGGAGTTTAAAGGGTCACTAGACACAGAAGATTATAACGAGGCATTGCTGTTTTTGTTAAACAAATGTGACATTTCTGAGCAAGATTCGTTACTGAAAATCACGCCTCTGGAATGTTGTCGGGAAAGTGAAAGTTTGGGGGCGGAACTGGAATTATTAAAGTCAAGAAAATTGGAATTCCAACGATCGTACAGTAGAAATGATAGAATTAATATTTTGTATTATTCTGCTCAGTTGGGTTACGATGACGCTGTTAAAACGGTTATTTCCGAAACTTCTGGCTCTTCTTGTAACGAAGTAAATTTTATTGTTGAATATAGTCATGAAACCCCGTTGCCAATGGCTTCACAAAGAGCCATAGAATACTTTGTTAAAACCGAAGCCGAAATGAATCGCGTTGATAATAAATGTGGTTGGACTCCTCTTTACTCAGCAGCGTCCAACGGCCACGAAAAAACCGTCGAATTTCTAGTGAAATGCGGAGCCGAAGTCAATCGTGCCACAAATGGTGGGCGGACCCCACTTTATACAGCTTCGTCGAACGGCCACGAAAAAATCGTCGAGTGTCTAGTGAGACACGAAGCTGAAATCAACCACGTTGTTGATAATGGCTGGACATCGCTTTACGCAGCTTCGTCGAACGGCCACGAAAACGTTGTCGAATACCTAGTGAATCACGGAGCCCAAATCTATAGTGCTGATGAGGCTGGGTGGACACCGCTTTATGCAGCTGCCGCGAATGGTCGTCAAAAAACTGTTGAATGCCTACTGAAATGCGGATTTGAAGTCAATCGAGCTATACCTAATGGTCGCAGACCGCTTCATCAAGCTTGCTTGAACGGTCACGAAAAAACGGTCGAATGCCTAGTGAAATATGGAGCCGAAATCAATTGCGTTGATATGTCTGATTGGACTCCGCTTTATGCAGCTGTGTGGTTAGGCCACGAAAAAACTGTCGAATTCTTAGTGAATTGCGAAGCCGAAATCAACAAAGCTGCAAGTGGTGGTCGGACACCGCTTTATACAGCTTCCTCTCATTGCCACGAAAGGATTGTCGAATGTCTAGTGAAAAGGGGAGCCGACATCAATCGCGGTAATGATGATGGTGAGACACCGCTGTACGCAGCTTCCGCGAATGGTGACGAAAAAATTGTTGAATGCCTAGTGAACCACGGAGCCGAAATAAATCGTGCTAATAATGATGGTAAAACACCGCTTTACGTAGCTTCGGCGAACGGCCACGAAAAAGTTGTCGAATGCCTAGTGAAATGCGGAGCCGAAATCAACTGTGCTGATAATGATGGTCAGACACCACTTAATGCGGCGTCCTTAGAAAGCCACGAAAAAGTTGTGGAATGCTTAGTGAATCATAGAGCCGAAGTCAATCGTGCCAATAGTGATGGTTGGGCACCGCTTCACTCAGCGTCCTCGAAAGGCCACGAAAAAATTGTCGAATGTCTAGTGAAATCCGGAGCCGAAATCAATCGCTCTACAAATGATGGATGGACACCGCTTAATGCAGCTTTTTTGAATGGCCACGAAGAAATCGTCCAATTCCTAGTGAAATGCGGAGCCGAAATCAATCGCACTAATGACGTGAATTTGACATCACTTGACACAGTTTTGTCGAATGATCAAGACAAAATTGTCGAATGCTTAGTGAAATATGGAGTTGAAATCAATCGCGCCAATGATGATGGCTGGACACCGTTGCATGCAGCTGCTTCCAACGGCAACGAAAATATGGTCAGACGACTAGTGGAATGCGGAGCCCAAATCAATCGGGCTGATAAAAATGACTGGACACCGCTTTACGCAGCTACCTCGAACGGCCACCAAGAAATTGTCGAATGTCTAGTGAAACACGGAGCCGACATCAACCGCTCTAATAGTAAAGACGAAACACCCCTTCACGTCGCTTCCTCGAAAGATTTTGAAAAAATTGTCGAATGCTTAACGAAATTCGGAGCCGAAATCAATTACGCTGATAAAAATGGTTGGACACCGCTTTACACAGCTTCCTGGCACGGCAACCAAAAAATTGTCGAATATCTAGTGAAACACGAAGCTGAAATCGATAAATCAAATAAAAATGGCTGGACACCACTTCACATAGCTTGCTCCAAGGGTCACGAAAAGGTTGTCGAATATCTGGTGAAATGCGAAGCCGAAATTAACCGCGTTGATAATCATGGTAGGACACCGCTTTATAACGCTGCCACAAAAGGCCACGAAAAAACTATCGAATATCTAGTGAAATGCGGAGCCGAAATCAATCGCTCGATAAATGATGGCTGGACACCGCTTTACGCAGCTTGTTTGAACGGTTACGAAAAAGCCGTCGAATGTCTAGTGAAATGCGGAGCAGATGTCAATCGTCCTGATAATCAAAGTCGGACACCACTTGACATTGCGTATAAATATCAGCACAGAAAAATTGTAGAGTTTCTACTACTTAATGGTGCAACGAAATAATTAAATTCGCAATCATTTTAGGGTATTTTTGTATTTCGTTACTTGCCAAATATGGTTCAATAATTATAGGGTCGATGTAGGTTATGCAAGCGTGCCGCCTATCACTTTATATGTACGACAGAAAGCACTTGCATGTGTATAACTATAAATGCTTTGTACCCATTGTTCACTGAGAACTGTCAAACTCTAGACATACTTTCAGAATGCCTTTAGAATCATTTATAAAACCCCCTAGAACCCGTGGCAAATTGTTAACTCAATTTTTCCTATCACATTTTCCAAAGCCCAAAATTTGAAGTAGTTTAGTTATCTATATTTTATTTTTAAACACAATGTTTTTCGACTGAAGTGCAGGTTCAGTTTTTTTTATTTATTTATATATGATACTCCAGTACAACCACATATCTTTAGTCTCTGGGTTGCTACAACAGACTTCATTCTTGTACACCATTTTTTACCTAAATATTTGTTCACAATCTTTTATTATAGAATTATTTTCTTGATTTAGGTTTTGTGGTTTAAAAGTATTTTTTTTTTAATTATCAGTTGACTTCGCTGTGTAAATATTCAGCTTTTAAAGTTTTTTTTACACTTTGTAATAAAATAATTTTCTAAGTAATGCTCTCTATATTTCACTTTTCCGTACAAAATCTATTTTTTTAATTAATTGTTAATTTTATTGTAATTATATTTTCTGTTCAAAGTTTTCCTAATACACATCCATTGTAATTTTAAGTTTAATTATAACTATATTAATTGTCGTTTTGTGTGAAAATATGTATTTGAATGTGTTTCTTACATATTGTTCCATATGATTAAAGAAATTTCTGATCCATGGAGGTAGTGTTTTGCACAGCAATTTGTTTGCATTAATGACGACCTCCTAATATCTGAAGTTTTTAGAATCAGCGTAATTTGTATGTATTATGTAGTATTAATCTTATGCTCTTCTTTCTAGAATATTTAGTAACTTCTTTTCTTTAATACATATTTAATATTTATTATGTAATGATTTCTTTGATGAACCTGATATGAAGTGACCCAGATGTATTACCTATTTTTCCTGCGAAAGCCCATGGTAACGAATAAAAACCTGATGTTATCCAAGAGAAAATAAGAACGGTATTTATTCAAAATTTTGAGACAACGTCATCAAGTTTTTGGGAGAAATAGACAGATAAATTGTGATTGTCGGTTTACCATGTTGACGATAATCTTACAACGTTTGCAAGATATCCTTACAAAAAAACTTTAAAACTTGAACACGAAAAATTATTATTGCCAACTAAGAAACTATTACAATTCTGCTATCATTGTCGTAAATACCGACACGATTAATGAACTCATTTTAAAACAAATGTCTTACTTTGCTGGCTCTTCCATGGATTTTACATCCTCTAACTCACAATCAACAATTGCTCTTTTGAACTAAGTCAAATTCCTAGCCAATGGAAATGTGCTTTGGTAAAACCAATTGCAAAAAACCTGCTCCAACTTGCCTTAAAGTTGTCAGACCAATCAGCTTACTTACTGATTCTGCTATTTTTAGTAATGTACTACGAGTAAGTAAGCTGATTGGTCTGAGAACTTTAAGGCAAGTTGGAGCAGCAGGTTTTATTACAACAATTAAATATATTTACATCTCAGGCCAATATTCTTCCCACTGTTCAATCAGGCTTCAGAACTCATTTTAGCACGACCACAGTTTTTTAAGTTCCTTAATTGATGCGTATTGAAAGGCTGCTGTGACAGTAAAGTCACTTCACTTACTTTACTGGATATGTCTAAAGCGTTCGATGCGGTTAATTTTGAGTTATTGCTTGCTAAACTCAAATATTATGGCATTTTTGAAAACTGCGTAACTTGGCTTGAAAACTACCTTCTTAAGTCGTATCCTGTCATGGTTCTATTTCTAAACCTCTTACAATAAAAAGTGGTGTACCCCAAGGATCTGTACTCGGTCCTGTCTAGTTTTCTATTTACACGGGTGACTTCCCTAAATATCTTCAACATTGTCAACTTCATATGCATGCTGACGACTTTCAAATTTATTATTTTTTCAATCCTGTATCTGAACATAACGCTCCAGAAAAAAATAACTCCGATGTTGAACGTTCACGTGAATGGACTTGTAAGAACTGTCTTTCCTTGAATCTTGCAAAAACTATTATCCATTGGCCATGAAAATCTAGTGAGTTTGTTGGTATTCGATGCAGAAAAATAAAAATTTCGACCTTTGTGAACAGCCTATTTCCATATCTTCCAACTTCTTTTTTCACTTTTCTAAGATTACTAAAAGGGTTGGTAAAAGACAACAACCTTGCTGTAGTGCTTTGGTGGGTTTAACTCTTCTGAAAGATTTTTCCGGCTTTAAATTGAATGATTTATCTATATAGCTATTACTAATGCTTACGTAAGTGCTCTTTATTTGTTTTTACTAAGTACTTCCAAACGCTTATTAATAAGAACGTTACTATACGCCTTCTCCAGGTCCATGAAGAGTTACAAAAAAAAAATGAAAATGTTTAAAATTTGGTGCAAAGTAACAACGTGGATGATCCAACTAAAATTATATTTTTTTGTTGTACGTCAGGTAGTTTTTCACATACTACCTTCGTAAAATTAGAACGAAAGATGAGTTAAAATATCACTCCCCGACAAGCTACAATTCACTCCATTTCCATTATTTCGCTATGAAAATCTTTCTCATCACCGTCATTTTCAAATTCAGATTCTGAATCAGATTCACCTAGCGAAATAATGAAAGGAGGTATACATTCGTACGAAAGATTTTCCATATTTTTTTCCCAATCTGCCAAAATAAGTGTTTCACAATGTTTACAAAAATTTTGCCACATGCTTGGAGTACATTTAGAAAGCGCCTCAACCCATGAATTCTCCACCCTATGTTTTAATGAAGGTTGAGAATTTATATGCTTGCTCTAATAGTTGTTACAAAATCCCCACGCCATTTCAATTGGATTATATTGACAATGGAACGGAGGTAATCTAAGAACTTCATGGCCACTTTCTCTTAATGTCTCGTCTACCAAATATCTTTTTTTCTTCTATTGTTTCTGAAGGGTTTAATTAAATCCCACAACTGTTTCTTCGAAATTTTTTTGTCAAATTCAACACTATGTTTAAAGAGCCACTCCTGCATTTCACATTTTTTACTAGAAAAAGTGGGTGGTTTATCCAACTGAACCAAATGATACGGTCCATTGTCGAAAACCACCACATATTTTTGGTTCAACTTTGCCAAAGCAGGAATGAGCTGATTAACCACCCAATTTAAAAAAATTGTCCCATCCATCGTTTTATGATAGTCTCTATCGTTATTTTTTGAATTTAAAAAATTGTTACAACCATCCAAGAACCCCGTTGAACAACCCGCATGGAGAATAGTAAACCTTGATCCTTCCTTTTAATTTTGGTGGGATTGCTTTTTAGATCAAATCTAATAAATGAAGTAGAAAGTGGCAATCCATTTCAAAGAAAATGTCAATCAAACTACACAAAACTAAATCATCAAATCAGTTTATCCAACTTAAAGAAAAAATATCAAAACCCACTTTACTATATAAAGATCGTAAATGGATAATATTTCAATTACTTTAGGCACACCAAACAAAATAAAAGCAATAACTCAGATCTTAATCTTCAAATTGGAGGTACCATTATTTCTTCTGCCCGAGTAGTTAAAAGTCTTGGATATTCGAGTCTCAGCTATCGCCAAGTTTAGTACTCGTGAACTGTGATGTCCGACTTAACTTTAATAAAATATCTGTTTTGAGAGCGTAGAGTCTTAGGTATAACATTGCATTTAATTTGAAGTGAATCGCTCCCTGGCAATCGTAAAAGTTATGTAAGTATTATAGTTGTTTAAGGATGTTTTCAAAATATTATTTAGTATAGGGAAAATTGAAATTACCACATCGGATGTTATGTTGTAGACTTTAAAATGATAGGGTTGTCTAATAATAGATATGAGTACACAAATGTGGTCCGTTTTTTATGTGAACAGGAAAGTGGAATTCGGAATAAGGTTGAATAGGAGCCTAACCTTCAAGGCCAATTATTATTTATTTGTACATCATTTGGCGTAAAAGTTTTTATAACTATTACTGCAGCATGACTTTGGAATACATGAATCCGTTTCGATTGCAATGAACAAGTTTAAGAAAACAGTCAGACCAGGAGTATCACGACATTGAAGCAAGAAAATTTTTTTTCGACAAATAACTAGAGCACAACTTTTTCTACCTATGTACCTAATTTCAATAGATTTGTGCAATTGGTTTCCAAGATATTTAACCGTTTCCATACATTCTAGCGACCCTGTATATGGAAGAGTTGATAACACGAAATTATCTTAATTCCGCTTTTAGAATGATATCGAATCGTGTTAAACAAAACGGTTTCAAAGGACACAGACTGTTGCAATACGCGTGAGTAACAAGTTCAGAGCAATAATTGTGAAGTAATGCTGTAATTGTGACGTTATAAACGTGGACTTCTTGACCGGTAAGTTGAAAATTACGGTTAAACTGTAAATATATAAGTATGTATTTATATTTCCTAACAGTGTTCACTGTCAAAAGCTTACACCGATTGGTATTTTGACAGAATGTTTTTTCATCAGATACATTCAACGTTGTAATCATGGACTCGAGTTCCGACGAAGAAATCAGGAAATTGGAAGAGGAATTAAAACGAAAAATTGAGCAAAGAAGATGAAAAAAACACGAACAGGGAAATAATAGCGTGTTACGCAAGCAGTCAGATGAAGAAAAGCCGGGTTTTTTAAAAATGGTATTATAATTATATCTTCTGGTTGCTACAACTCGCAAAGAAACACGAATATGTCGAAATATAACTTAAATGTCAAATTTAATAAAAAAGTATTTTCCAGCAAGCAGAAGTTAAGACGTTTGTGGACAATCAACACAATCCGACTGAAGAAAATATGCAGCCAACGGAGACAAAAAATATAGCAGAGACAATAAAGGCAAATATCTATTAATTCTTTTCTATAATAAGCTAGTTATGGCCTTATTTTTGTAATTAACTGTGGAAGGAAGGAGAACTAAAATGAAACCATCTAATAAATTTTGTAAATCTCGAGTTGGATTTTCTTTGCTTATATCATTATTATAATTTGTCTGAATTTAATTACATTGTTGTTTTGTTTCTAGACTTTTAAGAAAAGACCTGGTACCACCGATAAAGGAAGAAAGTACGAAGATATGATTATGACTAACATTATACTGCAAATGGTAAGCGACAGTAAAATAAGAAATTTCTACGTTTCGTCGAACGATGCAAGTTTCGGTGATTTCGACGATGTAGTTATCGAAGTTGAGACAGATCGAGGAACTCACACAAAGGCAATACAATTAAAACACACCAGTCGAGGAACATTAACCAAACAACAACTATTAAGCAAAAAGGGAGATTTTTGCATTTCCAAATATTTCAACTCCACCAAAAACATACAGGACAAAGCGCAACAATTTATATTATTCACCAACAAGGAATTTAATATTGCGGACAAAACAAAACTTAAACTCGAAGGAGAAGAGTTTCACATAGAGTTGATTAAAGTGTCAGCTTCAGAAAACAGTGCCGAGGATTTAGGAATCTCTAAAAATATAAACTATTGGTATAAATTTCAAATCATAGAAGAGAAGTGGAGTAAAGAAGATTTTGAAAAAATTCAGCAATACAAAACATTCTTCGAACGGTTTCGTCTTTACACTAACCAAGAACGATTGGAAATTCTTACAAAGTCAACAATGGATAGATTTACTGAGATGTTCTTTTCCAACGAAGACATATTCGACGCTTATTTTAAGTTCATTTCGGAATGGAGTTTGAAAGAAGGGCTCAAGGAAAAACTAAGCAAAAAATCTACGCAACGTTTAATTGCACTTCGTTTGCTTTCTCCGCATATCGAACCTTTTGCTTTTGGCCCAGTCAGTGATGATATGAGGATCCTTCGAGACGCTATTTATCAATTCGACATCACGTTGTTGCAGAAAGAAGGCACTAACAGAGTTAAAAAGTTGTGGGGCGACTTGGACAAAAATCTTGATTTCAACGAATTAAACAAAGTGCGATCTCGCTATTCTCTTTCTTCTGCTTATATAGCCAGTGTCGAAAATCTGGACGAAAATATGTTGACGCAGTTGCTATGGTTGATGGACAAAAGTCCGTTAATTGTAAAAGAACACAAAAATATCGAAAAAGCTGTTCAGCTTTGTCGTGATAAAAAATTCGTTTTACTTGGTGATGGAGAGTGTAAGGAATGGATGGAAGATCGTTCCGTTTTTCAAAACTTGTCACATTTAGAGTCAAAACTTGAGTTACATGATCAAGTGCTACAAAATTTTAGCATTTCCTTGCAGGGAAAAAATGCAGTTAATTTGAAGACTGCGTTTGAACAAAATAAAGTATTGTTAAAGCACGTGAGTGTGAACAAACTTTTAGAAATGTCAAATGGTCCTTGCTGTATAGGTGGACAAAAGGAAGCTTTTCCCAATGTTTATATCGAAAGAAATTTATCGGTCAATGTTATAGATATTAAATATTTAGAACATGTTAATCAAGACAGTTTTATCATTATCAATTGTGAAGAAAATTCTGAACAATTAAAAATATCCAGAGAGCATACTCTAATTGATATAAACGATTTTATCGCTGCTGTAAATTTCGAAATTTTCCAGACTCCTGTTTTCATAGTGAGTAAGAATAAATGTAGCGACTTTGATTTTCAGAAAGTGTGTTCTAAAACACTGGATTCCAAAATAGTACATCATTTTAAATTTCTTGATAGTCAAAATTTAGAATGGATACGAAGTAACGGTGATGTTGGTGAATTGCAAAATTATAAGTTAAGTAATCATTCCAAAAACGAAAAAGAATTTTGGTCTTTCGGTTTCAGCAACCACATTAATCTAATAACAGACGACCCGGGAATGGGGAAAACTGAGTTAACAAAAAGTCTAAAAAACGGTTGTTGTTCTAAATATTGGACGGTGATCATGAATCCTCAAGATATTAATTCATTGTCTAAAACTTTACAAACTTGTGAGGCATCAGATTACTTAAATCGGTTCGAATTATTCATCTTAAGCCAAAAATATCAACATCTTGGACAATTAGATCTAGAATTTTTCAAAATGTGTTTGAAGCAAAACAACGTCGTCTACGTGTGGGACGCTGTCGATGAAATTTTAACCAAAAATTTGGACGCTGCTTCAGACTTGATCTTCATGTTATCGCAAAAAGGTTTCGTTCAGTGGGTTACCGCAAGGCAACACTTGGGGTCCTTTCTTGAAAAAAAATTTAACGTGTTGTCGATGAGTATTAATCAGTTCAGCGACAGTGATCAAGAAAAGTACATTAGAAAACGTCTTAAGACTGTTGTTTCCTCTGGGGAAATGAAAAGAACGATCGACAAAATTAAATCCACGTTTGCAATCACAAAACATATTGATATTTTGGGGATTCCTCTTCAGATTTTTATGCTTACAGAGATATTCCTTCAAAATAAAGAAACGTATCTAGAATTGTTGAGCAGCAATTTTCTCTTTACTGATTTATATCGCCATTTTATTGATGGAAAATTCAACTTCTTTTTCGGAGGCAAAGTGCCGGTAATAGGTGACTTCTGGGAGGAAGAGGTCAGAAAGAAGAAAGAAGAAAAATTAGAGCAGTATGAAAAGTTGGCACTCAAATTAATTTTTCCTGAAGACATTTTTGATCAGTTTAAGATTGATTGCTCACGAGATGTAAAGGTAGTTTCTGAAGATTTAGCAACTGTTGGTATCATTACTGGACTACAAAACGGCATTCCGCAATTCGTGCACGCTTCCTTTGCCGAGTATTTTGTTGCTTTGTATTTTTCTAGAAATTTTAAAATGATACGCAGGGACATATTTTTTGATGCAAAGTATAACAATGTACGGTTTTTCTTCGACATGTTAGTTGGTAAAAAATCACCGGTCCACGTTGCGGTCTTGTACAAAAATTTTAATGAATTAAGGGGTTATGATGACGAAACAATAAAGCGTAAAGACGACGGTGGAAGAAGTGCCTTACATCTCATTTGTTCTTGGGGACAAAGACATCGACGTTTAAATGTAGAAGAAAGAGATAATGTTTATGTAGTCGAGAACGATTGGGAGTTTAAAGGGTCACTACACACAGAAGATTATAACGAGGCATTGCTGTTTTTGTTAAACAAATGTGACATTTCTGAGCTAGATTCGTTACTAAAAATCACGCCTCTGGAATGTTGTCGAGAAAGTGAGAGTTTGGGGGCGGAACTGGAATTATTACAGTCAAGAAAATTGGAATTCCAACGATCGTATAGTAGAAATGATAGAATTAATATCTTGTATTATTCTGCTCAGTTAGGTTACAATGACGCCATTAAAACGGTTATTTCCGAAACTTCTGGCTCCTCTTGTAACGAAGTAAATTTTATTGTTGAATACAGTCATGAAACACCTTTGCCAATGGCTTCACAGAGAGCTATAGAATATTTTGTTAAAACCGAAGCCGAAACGACTCGAGCTGATAATAAATGTGGTTGGACCCCTCTTTACTCAGCTGCGTCTAACGGCCACGAAAAAACCGTCGAATTCCTGGTGAAATGCGGAGCGGAAATTAATCGCGCCACAAATGGTGGCCGGACATCACTTTATATAGCTTCGTCGAACGGCCACGAAAAAATCGTCGAATATCTAGTGAAATATGGAGCCGAAATCAATCACGCTGTTGACAATGGTTGGACCCCGCTTTACGCAGCTTCGTCGAACGGCCACGAAAAGATTGTCGAATATCTAGTGAGACACAGAGCCGAAATTTATCGTGCTGATGACGCTGGATGGACCCCACTTTTTGCAGCTGCCTGGAACGGTCACCACGATGCTGTTGAATGCCTAGTGAAATGCGGGGTCGAAGTCAATAGGGCTACATATAATGGTCGCACACCCCTCTACCAAGCGTGTTTAAACGGCCAGGAAAAAACAGCCGAATGCCTAGTGAAATGCGGAGCCCAAATCAATGTCACTGATATGTCCGGTGAGACACCACTTTATGTAGCTTCCTGGGTAGGCCACAAAAAATCTGTCAAAGTCCTAGTGAAATGTGGAGCCGAAATTAATCGCCCTAATAACAGTGGTTGGACCCCACTTTACGCAGCTGCTTTCAAGTGTAACGAAAAAGTTGTCGATTATCTAGTGAAATCCGCAGCGGATATCAATCGCGCTAATAATGATGGTGAAACACCGCTTTATGCAGCTTCCTCTCAAGGTCACGAAAGAATTGTCGAATGTCTAGTGAAATATGGAGCAGAAATCAATCATGCTGTAAAGAATGGCTGGACACCACTGTACGTAGCCTCTTCGAATGGCCATGAAAAAGTTGTCGAATGTCTGGTGAAATTCGGGGCCGAAATTAATAGTAGTAATAATGTTGGTTGGACACCGCTTTGCACAGCATCTTCGAAAGGCCACGAAAAAGTTGTCGAATGTCTGGTGAAATTCGGGGCCGAAATAAATAGTAGTAATAATGTTGGTTGGACACCGCTTTGCACAGCATCTTCGAAAGGCCACGAAAAAATTGTCGAATTTCTATTGGAATGCGGAGCCGAAATCAATCGCTCGACAAATGATGGTTGGACACCCCTTAGCGCGGCTTTTTTGAAAGATCACGAAAACATTGTCCAATACCTAGTGAAATACGGAGCGGAAATCAATCGCACTAATGTCGGTGAAGGGACACCACTTAAGGCAGTTTTGCCGAACGACCGCGAAAAAATTGTCGAATATCTAGTGAAAAATGGAATCGAAATCAATCGTGCCAATGATGTTGGTTGGACATCGCTTCATGCAGCTGCCTCGAACGGCCACGAGAACATGGTCAAACACCTAGTGAAATGCGGAGCCGAAATAAATCGCGCTGATAACGATGGCGTGACACCGCTTTACGCAGCTTCCTCGAACGGCCACCAAGAAATTGTCGAATATCTAGTGAAATACGGAGCCGAAATCAATCGCGTTGACAATTATGGTCGGACACCACTTTATACTGCATCCTCAAAAGGCTACGAAAAAACTGTCGAATATCTAATGAAATGCGGAGCCGATGTCAATCGTTCTGACAATGGTGGTTATACACCGCTTTGCGCAGCTTCTAACAACGGCGACGAAAAAATTGTCGAATATCTAGTGAAACACGGTGCCGAAATCAATAGCGCTGATAAATATGGTTGGACACCACTTCACGCAGCTTCGTCCAGGGGTCACGAAAAGATTGTCGAATGCCTGGTGAAAAGCGGAGCTGAAATCAATGGCGGTTATAAATGTGATCGGACACCGCTTTTTATGGCTTCCAAACAAGGTCGGGAAAAAGTTGTTGAATATCTTGTGAAATCCGGAGCCGAAGTGAATCTCGCTGATTACTATGATCAGACCCCGGTTTATGTAGCTTCTGAGCGCAACTACGAAAAAATCGTCGAATGCCTAGTGAAATCCGGAGCAGATACAAATCGGTGTGATAAATATGGTCAGACACCACTTGACATAGCGTATAAGTATCAGTATAAGAAAATAGTAGAATTTCTACTAGCAAATGGGGGAACAAAATAATAATATCTTATAATAATTATGTACATAACGAATTATGTCATAACATGTAGAAAATTGTTAACTCAGTTTTTCCAATCCCATTTTTTAAACCTACAATTTGCGGAATTTGGCATACAGTTTAATTTTCAAATGGAATATTTTTTAACCGTAGTGTAGTTTCAGTTTTTTTTTTTTTTTGATGTTTATGATACTCCAGTATAACCACAGATCCTGTTTTTTGTACAACGGAGTCTAGATCTATCAATCTCGATTGTCATGTACGATTCTTTGTCACTTTGAAATTAAGACTACACTCCTGTTCATATTTGTACCCTTTCTTGATAGTTTTTTAATAGTCAGGTTTTTCCGATCTAGGTCAATGTTTTTTGTTTTTTAATACACATTTGTCTTTTGATTTAGGACTAAGTATTTATTTATAGATTTTAAAATTAATTTGCACACTATAGGTTCATGGTTTGCGTGAACTATTTGACAAACTTGTAGAGTTTGTGAAATTTATTTTACAAGTGTTGTTATCATACATGGTGCGGATTTTAATTAGAAAATGTGATTATCGAAATTAGGTGCAAGTTAATTCGTGCTGATTACTATTTTTACTTTAAAGCAGTGTCTCATAAGTAGTAACTTGTACATAACTTTATCTTTTGGTAGGAATTTGAATATATGTTGTAATAATTAATAAATGTGTTGATTGCTTATTTTTTTGTTTTAATATAAATATGTATTCAACTTAATTTTTATATTGTAAGGAATTTCCCTCCGAAGAAATTCGATCAGCGTTGGACGCACAAACAATGACGTCATAGTACTCCAATGTGGATATGGTCAGAAGCGTCATAGTTTAAATTAAATGACGGTTGAGGACTCCTCGATTGATGTTGGCAACAGTGTTTGTTTCTAACCAGGAATAAAATTAACTAGAAAAAATGTCATAATATTTTTAACGACGCGTTTTACTTTCGACAAATTGACATTAGATTTACCAGAATATTACAAGCTGCTTACTGTTTCCTTCACTTTAATTCAGGTCACACGAATTATAGTTCGTCGTCTGAGAACTCGTTTGATCGACAGACCACAGCGCACTCAGGCCAATGTCGACTATAAGGGGGGGCGATTTAATTTATAAGCCATGATCCGTGATCTGATACACATCCTAATCGGTTACGACCATAATTTCTTGCTGTTTCAACTTTCGAATTTTCAGTTTTTCGAAATTTCAGTTTGTGGATTTTTCAGTTTACTATTTATTATTCAAGTTTTGGATTTTACAATTTCTCAATTTTTCAATTTCTCGATTTTCAGATTTTCTCTTCAATTTTACGATTTTTAAATATGTATTTCGATTTTTCAATTTTTGACTTTTATAAACTCTTTATTTGTCGATTTTTCAATTAATCAATTTTTCAGGTTTTCGGTTTTTCAATTTTTCTGTTTTTTCAGGTTGTTTTTCAACTTCAATTTTTTAATTTCTCAGATTTTGGACATTTCAGTTTTGGGATTTTTCAGTTTAGTTGTTATTCAATTTTTCGATCTTACGATTTTGCAGGTTTTTGATTGTTCAATTTTTCGATTTTTTTAAGGTTTCGATATTTCGACTTCACTTTTTTGATTTTTCGATTTCCCAATTTTTCGATTTTTTGGATTCTCAGTTTTTGGATATTTCAGTTTTGGGATTTTTCAGTTTTTCGATTCGTCAGTTTTTCTTTGATTTTTCAGTTTCTCGATATTTCAGTTTTCGGATTTTTCAATATTTCTGTTCTTCGACTTTTCCATTTTCGACCTCTGGATTTTTCGATGTGTCCACTTTTTAGTTTTTCGATTTTAAAATTTTAGATTTTCCAATTTTTTGGTATTTTAATTTTTCAGTATTTAAAATTTTTGATTTTTCGATTTCTCGATTTTTTATTTTAGCTCTTCCATATTTCAATTTTTCAAATGTTTCGATTTCTTAATCTTTCAATTTTTGACTTACCGATTTTAGATTTTCTGTTTTTCAATTGTCGTTTTTTCAATTCTTCGATTTTTAAATTTTAGATTTTTCAGTTTATTGATATTTTAATTTTTCAATATTTAAAATATTAGATTTTTCGATTTCTCGATTTTTCATTTCAGTTTTTCGATAATTTGATTTTTCAAGTTTTCGAATTTTTCAAGTGTTTCGATTTCTTAATCTTTTGATTTTTCGACTTCCTGATTTTAGATTAACTGTTTTTCAATTGTCATTTTGTCAAATTTTCGATTTTTTAATTTTTCAAATTTGACTTGTACAAACTCTCAATTTTTCGATTTTTGATTTTCCATTTCTTGACCTTCGAGTGTTTCGATTTTCCTGTTCTTCAATTCTTTAATTTTTTGATTTTTCAGTTTTTCGATTTTTTAAGGTTTCTATTTTTCGACTTCACTTTTCTGATTTTTCGATTTTTCAGTTTTTAGATATTTCAGTTTTAGGATTTTTCAATATTTCAATTCTTCGGCTTTTCTATTTTTGACTTCTGGATTTTTCGATGTGTCTACCTTATTACTTTTTCAATTTTTCAATTTCTGGATTTTTAAATTCAAATCTTTTGATATTTTAATTTTTCAATATTTCTTAATCTTTCGATTTTTCGACTTCCTGGTTTTAGATGTTCTGTTTTTCAATTTTTCGATTTGTTTCTCAGTTTTTCCAGTTTTCCATTTTTTCGTTTTTTGATTTTTCCGCTTTTCCAATTTTTTAACTTTTAACATTTTGTTTGTTTTTCGATTTTTCGATTTCATCACTTTTCGATTTCTCTTTCTTTTGATCTTTCAATCTCACAATTTTTCAATTTTTCAAATGTTTTGATTTCTCGATTTATCGAGATTTGGATATTTCAATATTTTGATTGTCAATTTCTCAATTTATAAATTGTTCAATTTTTAACTTTTCGATTTTTCGATTTTGGTCTATTTCGGTCTCTCAATTGTTCGACTTTTCGACTCCACGATTTTTTGATCTTTTGATTTTTCGATTTCTCGATTTTTCGATTTTCCAGTCTTCCGGTGTTTCGATTTTTCAGTTATCCAACTTTTTAAATTTGGAGGTTTCGATTTCTCGATTTTTCGTTATTCGGTTTTTAAATTTTAGCTTTTTGAATTTTACATTTTTTCAATTTTCTGATGTTTCATTTTTCGATTATCAGTTCTTCGAAATTTTTTCGAATTTTCAATGTTTCGGATTTACAATTTTTTAAGGTTTCGATTTTTCTGTTATTAGATTTCTCGATTTTTCGAATTTTCGATAATTTTTTTTCTTTTTTTTTCTCACTGTTAATATCATACAAAAATTGGGTTACTACGATTTCAACAATATTCTTAGTTTAAGACGTTTTGCTAGTATAAAACACAAATAAAGAATTAATTCGTAGTTAAACAAAACATATAAAATCATCTAAATATGTACCAAAAATATTCGCTTATTCGTTATAGTTAAAATCCGACCAAACAATTATTTCCCGCAAAAATTTTATTTAATCCAAACCAGCAAAATTTACTCGACAATGAGAGATACTTCAAGAAACTAAATATTTATTTAGTATAGGGAAAATGGAACTGTGGATACTTACCACACCGGATGTTATGTTGTAGACTTTAAAAAGATAAGTCTAATAATAGATATGAGTACACAAAGGTGGTCCGTTTTTATGTGAACAGGAAAGTGGAATTCGGAATACCGTTGAATAGGAGCCTAACCTTCAAGGCCAATTATTATTTATTTGTACATCATTTGGCGTAAAGGTTTTTATAACTATTACTGCAGCATGACTTTGGAATACATAAATCCGTTTCGATTGTAATGAACAAGCTTAAGAAGACAGTCAGACCAGGAGCATCACGTAATTGAAGCAAGAACAATTTTTTTCGACAAATAACTAGAGCACAACTTTTTCTACCTCTATACCTAATTTCAATAGATTTGTGCAATTGGTTTCCAAGATATTTAACCGTTTCCATACATTCTAGCGACCCTGTATATGGAAGAGTTGATAACACAAAATTATCTTAATTCCACTTTTAGAATGATATGGAATCGTGTTTAAACAAAACGGTTTCAAAGGAAACAGATTGTTGCAATACGAGTGAGTAACAAGTTCAGAGCAATAATTGTGAACTAATGCTGTAATTGTGACATTATAAACGTGGACTTCTTGACCGGTAAGTTGAAAATTACGGTTAAACTGTAAATATATGAATATTTATATTTCCTAACACTACTCACTGTCAAAAGCTTACACCGACTGGTATTTTGACAGAATGTTTTTTCATCAGATACATTCAACGTTGTTGTCATGGACTCGAGTTCCGACGAAGAAATCAGGAAATTGGAAGAGGAATTAAAACGAAAAATAGAGCTAAGAAGACGAAAAAAACACGAACAGGGAAATAATAGCGTGTTACGCAAGCAGTCAGATGATGAAAATCCGGGTTCTTTAAAAATGGTATTAAGTATAATTATATCTTTTGGTTGTTATAACTCGCAAAGAAACACGAATATGTAGACATATAACTTAAACGCCAAATTTAATAAAAAAGTATTTTTTTCAGCAAGCAGAAGTTAAGACGTTTGTGGACAATCAACACAATCCAACTGAAGAAAATATGCAGCCAACGGAGACAAAAAATATAGATGCAGAGACAACAAAGGCAAATATCTATTAATTCTTTTCTATAATAAGCTAGTTATGGTCTTATTTTTGTAATTAACTGTGGAAGGAAGGAGAACTAAAATGAGACCTTTAATAAATTTTGTAAATCTCGAGTTGGATTTTCTTTGCTTATATCATTATTATAATTTGTCTGAATTTAATTACATTGTTGTTTTGTTTCTAGACTTTTAAGAAAAGACCTGGTACCACCGATAAAGGAAGAAAGTACGAAGATATGATTACGACTAACATCATACTACAAATGGTAAGCGACAGTAAAATAAGAAATTTCTACGTTTCGTCGAACGATGCAAGTTTCGGTGATTTCGACGATGTAGTTATCGAAGTTGAGACAGATCGAGGAACTCACACAAAAGCAATACAATTAAAACACACCAGTCGAGGAACATTAACCAAGCAACAACTATTAAGCAAAAAGGGAGATTTTTGCATTTCCAAATATTTCAACTCCACCAAAAACATACAGGACAAAGCGCAACAATTTATATTATTCACCAACAAGGAATTTAATATTGCGGACAAAACAAAACTTAAACTCGAAGGAGAAGAGTTTCACATAGAGTTGATTAAAGTGTCAGCTTCAGAAAACAGTGCCGAGGATTTAGGAATCTCTAAAAATATAAACTATTGGTATAAATTTCAAATTATAGAAGAGAAGTGGAGTAAAGAAGATTTTGAAAAAATTCAGCATTACAAAACATTCTTCGAACGATTTCGTCTTTACACTAACCAAGAACGGTTGGAAAATCTTACAAAATCAACTATGGATAGATTTACTGAGATGTTCTGTTCCAACGAAGAAACATTCGACGCTTATTTTAAGTTCATTTCGGAATGGAGTTTGAAAGAAGGGCTCAAGGAAAAACTAAGCAAAAAATTTACGCAACGTTTAATTGCACTTCGTTTGCTTTCTCCTTATATTGAACCTTTTGCTTTCGGTCCGGTCAGTGACGATATGAGGATCCTTCGAGACGCTATTTATCAATTCGACATCACGTTGTTGCAGGAAGAAGGCACTAACAGAGTTAAAAAATTGTGGGGCGACTTGGACAAAAATCTTGATTTCAACGAATTAAACAAAGTGCGAACTCGCTATTCTCTTTCTTCTGCTTATATAGCTAGTGTCGAAAATCTGGACGAAAATATGTTGACGCAGTTGTTATGGTTGATGGACAAAAGTCCGTTGATTGTAAAAGAACACAAAAATATCGAAAAAGCTGTTCAGCTTTGTCGTGATAAAAAATTCGTTTTACTTAGTGGTGGAGGGTGTAGGGAATGGATGGAAGATCGTTCCGTTTTTCAGAACTTGTCACATTTAGAGTCAAAACTTGAGTTGTATGAAAAGATGCTACAAAATTTTACCATTTCGTTGCAGGGAAAAAATGCAGTTAATTTGAAGACCGCGTTTGAACAAAATAAAACATTTTTAAAGCACGTGAGTGTAAATAAACTTTTAGAAATGTCAAATGGTTTGTGCTACATTGGTGGACAAAAAGAAACTTTTCCTAATCTTTATATCGATAGATGTTTGTCGGTTAATATAATAGACACTGAATATTTAGAAGTTGTTAGTCAAAACACAGTTATAATTCTGAATTGCGATGACAATAATTATAAACAAATAAAAATATCCAGAAAACACACCCTAATGGATATAAACGATTTTTTCGTTTCTACAACGTCGAAAATTTGCCACACTCCAGTTATTATAATGAGTAAGAATAAATGTAGCGAATCTGATTTTCAAAAAGTCTGTACTAAAATAGTAGATTCCAAAATTGTCCACTATTTTGAATTTCTTAATAACAAAGATTTACAATGGGTCCGAAGCAGAGGCGATGTTAGTGAATTGCGCAAATATAAGTCATCCAGTCATTCCAAAAACGAAAGCAAAATTTGGTCTTCCGAATTCAGCAACAAAATTAATTTAGTGATAGGCGATCCGGGAATGGGAAAAACTGAGCTAACAAAAAGCTTAAAAAACAACTGTTGTTCTAAATACTGGACGGTGATTATGAATCCTCAAGATGTTAATTCATTGTTTAAAATTTTACAAACATCGGATTACTTAAATCGGTTTGAATCATTTATCTTAAACGAAAAATATCCAGACCTTGAACAGTTTGATCGAGAATTTTTCAAAATGTGTTTGAACCAAAACCATGTCGTCTACGTGTGGGACGCTCTCGACGAAATTTTAACAAAAAATTTGGACGCGGTTTCCGATTTAATCCTTCTATTATCACAACGAGGTTTCGTTCAGTGGGTCACCGCAAGACAACACTTGCGGTCCTTTCTTGAAAAAAAATTCAACGTATTGTCGGTGAGTATTAACCAGTTCAGCGAGACCGAGCAAGACGATTACATCAGAAAACGCCTTTCCAATTTGATTTCGTCCGTCGACATGAAAATAACCATCGAGAAAATTAAATCAACGTTTGCATTCACAAAGCACGTCGATATTCTAGGGATTCCGCTGCAGATTTTTATGGTTACAGAGATCTTCCGTCAAAATAAAGAAACTTGTTTGGAATTATTGAACAACAGGTTTCTCTTGACTGATTTATATCGTTATTTTATTGACGGAAAGTTCAGGTTCTTCTTTGGAGGTAAAGTACCTGTGGTAGGTGATTATTGGGAGGCAGAAATCGCGAAGAAGAAGGAAGAAAAATTAAAGCAGTATGAAAAATTTGCACTTGAGTTAATATTTCCGGAAGAAACTTTGAAAGAGTTGAAGATTGACTACGCACGAGATGTAAATTTAGTTTCTGAAGATTTTGCAACTGTTGGTATTGTCACTGGATTACAAAACGGGATTCCGCAATTCGTGCACGCGTCCTTTGCCGAGTATTTTGTGGCCTTATTTTTTTCTAGAAATTGGAAAAAGCTAAGCAGAGACATATTTTTTGATCAAAAGTACAATAATGTACGATTTTTTTTCGATATACTGACTGGGAAAAATTCATCGGTCCACATTGCGGTGTTATATAGGAATTTTGATGAATTAAGGAGTTATAATGACCAAATGATAAATCGTAAGGATGACGTTGGAAGAAGTGCCTTACATCTTCTTTGTTCTTGGGGGTCAAGATATCCACGTTTGAAGGTACAAGAAAGAGATGACCGTTATGTAATCGCCTACGATAATAGGGAATATATGGAATTACTTGAGACTGGAGAATATTTCCAGGCATTGCAAATTTTGTTAAACAAATGTGAAATTTCCGAACAAGATTTGTTATTTAAAATCACCCCCTTAGAATGTTGTCGAGAAACTGAGAGTTTAGGAGCGGAACTAGAATTATTACAATCAAGAAAATTACAATTCCAACAATCGTATAATAGAAATGATAGAATTAACATTTTGTATTATTCTGCTCAGTTTGGATACGACGAAGCGATTAAAATGGTTATTCCGGAAGATGTTGACTCTTGTTACAAAGAAGTCAATTTTATTAGCCACTTTGGTAAAACTCCTTTGTTAATGGCTTCTCGAAAGGGATACGCAACAGTTGTAGAATACTTAGTCAAATGTGGAGCCAAAATCTATATTGCTGATTATTTCAATCAGACACCGCTACATGGAGCGTCTTCGAAAGGCCACGAAAAAGTAGTCGAATATTTGGTGAAATGTGAAGCCAAAATAAATTGTTCTGATCTGAATCGTGAGACACCGCTTTTTGCAGCTTCATCGAATGGCCACGAAAAAGTTGTCGAATATCTAGCGGAATGTAAAGCCGATGTCAATCATGTTAATATATATGGCAAGAGACCTCTTCATGGAGCTTCTTCCAAAGGTCACGAGAAAACAGTCGAATGTCTAGTCAAACATCGAGCCAATATCGACCATACCGATAATGATGGATGCACACCGCTTTTCACAGCTTCTTCTAATGGCCACGAAAACATTGTTCAATTTTTAGTGAAATCCGGAGCTGGAATCAACTTAGCTGATAAACATGGTCAAACACCGCTTTTCACAGCTTCTTCTAATAGCCACGAAAACATTGTTCAATTCTTAGTGAAATCCGGAGCTGGAATCAACTTAGCTGATAAACATGGTCAAACACCGCTTTTCATAGCTTCTTCTAATGGCCACGAAAACATTGTTCAATTTTTAGTGAAATCCGGAGCTGGAATCAACTTAGCTGATAAACATGGTCAAACACCGCTTTTCACAGCTTCTTCTAATGGCCACGAACACATTGTTCAATTTTTAGTGAAATCCGGAGCTGGAATCAACTTAGCTGATAAACATGGTCAAACACCGCTTTTCACAGCTTCTTCTAATGGCCACGAAAACATTGTTCAATTTTTAGTGAAATCCGGAGCTGGAATCAACTTAGCTGATAAACATGGTCAAACACCGCTTTTCACAGCTTCTTCTAATGGCCACGAACACATTGTTCAATTTTTAGTGAAATCCGGAGCTGGAATCAACTTAGCTGATAAACATGGTCAAACACCGCTTTTCACAGCTTCTTCTAATGGCCACGAAAACATTGTTCAATTTTTAGTGAAATCCGGAGCTGGAATCAACTTAGCTGATAAACATGGTCAAACACCGCTTTTCACAGCTTCTTCTAATGACCACGAAAACATTGTTCAATTCTTAGTTAAATCCGGAGCTGGAATCAACTTAGCTGATAAACATGGTCAAACACCGCTTTTCACAGCTTCTTCTAATGGCCACGAAAACATTGTTCAATTCTTAGTTAAATCCGGAGCTGGAATCGACTTAGCTGATAAATATGGTCAAACACCGCTTTTCGTAGCTTCCTCTCAAGGTCACGAAAAAATTGTCGATTGTCTAGTGAAATGCAAAGTCGATATCGATCACGTCGACAACGATGGCTGGACACCACTTTACGTAGCTTCCTACAACGGCCATAAAAAAACTGTTCAATGCCTAGTGATTCATAAAGCTCAAATCGATTTTGTTGATAAATATGATCGGTCACCACTTTACGCAGCTGTTTCTAACGGCCATGAAGAAGTTGTTCAATATCTAGTGGAATGCGGAGTTAGAATCCATCGTGTTGATAAATGCGGTGAGCCACCGCTTTACGCAGCTTCGTCGAAGTCCCAGAAAAGAATCGTCCAATACCTACGGAAATGCGACGCCGAAATCAATCGACTTGACGAAAATGGTTGCACACCGCTTTACCAAGCTTCTGAAAACGGTTGCCAAGAAATTGTCCAAGATCTAGTGAAATGCGGAGCCAATATCAATTTCGTTAATACTAGTGGTAAGACCCCGCTTTACGTAGCTTCTAGAAACGGTTATGAAGAGATCGTCAAATGCCTAGTGAAATGCGGAGCCGATATCAATCACGATGTTTATGGTAAGACACCTCTTTACGTAGCTTCTGAAAACGGTCATGAAAAGGTCGTCACATACCTAGTGGAAAACGGAGCCGAGATAAATCGCACTGATTATACTAATTGTCAGACACCTCTTTACGTAGCTTCTGAAAACGGTCATGAAAAGGTCGTCACATACCTAGTGGAAAACGGAGCCGAGATAAATCGCACTGATTGTACTAATCGTCAGACACCTCTTTACGTAGCTTCTGCAAACGGTCATGAAAAGGTCGTCACATACCTAGTGGAAAACAGAGCCCTTATAAATTGCTTTGATTATACTAATGTTCAGACACCTCTTTACGTAGCTTCTAGAAACGGTTATGAAAAGGTCGTCACATACCTAGTGGAAAACGGAGCCATTATAAATCCCGATGATTATCCTAATCTTAAGACACCTCTTTACGTAGCTTCTGAAAACGGCCATGAAAAGGTCGTCACATACCTAGTGGAAAAAGGAGCCAAAGTCAATAATGATAATTATCGTGGTCGGACACCACTTCACGCAGGTTCCGAAAATGGCCACGAGAAGATTGTTAAGTTCCTAGTGAAACGCGGGGCCGAAATCAATCGCGCTGACGAAGATGGTCAGACACCACTCTGCGTAGCATTTGAGAAAGGACACACTCAAGTAGTAGAATATCTACGAACGGTACAATCCAAAAATAACTAATTAAATTGTCACAATGATATATTTGCACAGTAAATAATACCTTAATCAAAACATCCATACTTTTCATCAAGGCAAATTGTTAACTCAATTTTTTCAATCCCATTTTTAAACTCTGTCGAAGCACTTTAGATTCACCTTAAATTGACTTAACTTTAACACTTAAATTTATTCCTATCACAATATAGGCGATGTATTTTTATTTATTTATTACTTTCTGAGCGTTATTAATTGAGTCCATTCGGCGACTTGATACTTGCATGTTTTCTCGGCGCTTCATGACCTCTATAGAGTACGAAAAATGTGGCATACCGCTTTCGTCTGTCTGTCTGCCTGTCTATCGTCTGTATCAATTTTTATTAGACATAATTATAATCTCCATGTAAACCTTGTAAATCGGTAAGCAAAATTTATTCGTTTATATCCTCCCAAAAAATTGATGACCTCATCTCGAAATTTTGCCTATCAAATCCTCTCTGAAATACTAAAAAAATTGATGAATCAGGCAATTTATCCAAATTGATATTTTGCATTGGAAAAATTCACTTTAAAAACGTGTAGCACGCTTTCTACATTTATTTTAACATTACATATACTTTAGTTTTACTTTATAACTTATAAGGGTTAACATAGTAAAATAAAATTTACAAAATCAAATCTTATAATTTTTCGAAAAATCTGGATTTATTATTTACATTCGACCAATTTTTTGATATCACAATTTATCGTTTTTTTCCTTGTCTTTCGTTTTTCAATTTTTCCATTTTTCATTTTTCGTTTCCTCAATTTTGAAGTTCATCATTTTCATTTTCCACTTTTACAGTTTTTCGTTTATTCAATTTTTCAAATTTTCAGTCTTTGATTTTTCAATTCCCCAATTTTGCAATTTTAAATTTTTCAGTTTTGCAATTTTCTGATTTATAATTATCGGACTCTCTTTTTTTTTAATTTTCAATGTTGGATTTTGTACTTTTCGATTTTTAAGTTACCCAGTTTTTAATCCTCCGATTTTTCCATTTTTCGTTTCTTCAACTTTTCAAGCTCTTGATTTCCAATTATTCGTTTTACACTTTTTCGTTTTTTCAGTTTTTACAATTTTGGAATTTTTACATTTTTTTACTTGAAATTTTGAAAAATCGAAAAATTAAAAACCAACAACCCAAAAATCCGGAAAAAATTAAACTGAAAAAAAAAATGCAAAATCGAAAAGTGGGCAATCGAAAACTTGCAAAATGGAGAACTGAAGAAAAGAGAAATTGAAACATTGAAAAACTGAAAATATAGAAAAATTAATTAATCCATAAATTGTAAAGTAGAAAAAGTCGAAGATTGAAAGATCAAGAAAATGAAAAATTAAATATCGAGAAATTAAAAATCGAATAAATGAGAAAGTTCTCGAACCCCATAATTGAAATATAAAAAAAACTAAAATTGTGAAGTTGAAACAGTGGAAAATTTGAAAAATTATAATTATTATTAAATACATATATTTAAAATGAAACGTAGAAAAATTTCAAATAAAAAATTGAAGCAACGAAAAACTGAGAATTCCGAAATTGAAAATACGAGAAATACTTAAAAAGTCCAAAATTCGGAGAAAAACTAAAAAAGCGAAAAATTGAAAAATTAAAAATTGAAAATTCGTCTAACTGCAAATGGAAATAAGTACTGTAATATCTAAAAATTGAATCAACCAAAAGATGGAAAACTGAAAAATTTAAAATGAAAACTCGGAAGTGTTGCATATCGTAAAATTGAAGAACCGAAAAAAAATTGCAAATCGAAAAATAAAGAATTGAAAAATTCAAGTCAAAAAAGCTGCGGGAGGGAAGTTCTGTCGAAATAACGTTTGACCACTTTTTTTTATTTATGATTTCTCAATATCGACTCTCTACTAAGACCCTTTGTTACTTTGAAATTAAGATCACACTCTCATTACTAATTTTTTGTACCAATTTGTTGATATATTTTTATTACGCAAATTTTTCTCTTTTAAACCAAAGGATGTATTTTTTGCCATACCGACCAGATTTTATAGATTTTAATCCTTCTGTTTTGAACGTTAACCTTGACGGTTAGACCTTCAAATGTCATTTTCAGATTCAAATGAAGTTTAGTTCCTCAAATATTACGTAAGGAATTAGTAAAATGTTCATCTTTTTCTTGATCAATAAATTAAAAAATATCAATATAAATCATTCAATAACTTTACTAACATGTTTGGAATCGGAACAACAATAAACATTTACATTGCAATTATCAAAATTAGGACGATTCTCAGCCGACGTGGATGAAGTGTTGCTACGTTGAATAGATATGTTGTGTTCTTCTTCGTTAAAACTGGCCAAATAAGAACATAAGCTTTTGTACTCACTTGTCCATAAATTTTTATTACTCAGATTTTTCTTGTTTAAATAAAAAAAAATGTATTTTAGATCTACTTGCTTTTGTGATTTAATCAACTGAAAACAATTGTAATAACTACTTCCAAAAGTAGCAGATTTTTAGTTTTAAGTTTAATCGTAACTGTATCAATTGTGGGTGAAAATATTTATTTAAATGTGTTCTATATGATAAAAAAAATCTGATCAAGGGAGGTTGTGATATAGGCATATCTAATGTCACAGATATAGAGTTGATATTAATCACGGCCTTCTAGAACCTGATTTTTTTTTCATGTCGTTTTGTACATAGATAGTATATAACATTTGTTTTATGATTTATAATTAGGTTTTTACTAGATTTTAAAATGAACTGCTGACAACTTTGTAGTTTTTTGTTATGTTTGCTATGCTAAAAGTGTGTCATGACTGGTATACCTTTTGGTAACAAGATATAAATGCATATATTAATAATAATTAATAAACACATTTGTTATGATATTGTAAAAATTAGTATAATATGTACATTCGTAATAGTTCATAAAATTAGTTTACAAATATTTTGAAATAAACAATGCGTTTATAGATTTATATATAAGCGTTCAATTAGAAGTATGTTGTCAAATTATTCTCCCTATCGTTACTTTCCAATATCCGTTATGAAATAGTGTATGCTCAGTCGATATTTACCTAGTAAAACTTTTCTGACTGAAGACAAACCAGCCTTATAAATCAAATTGGCTAATGTTAACTGCAACAAAGAAGTTAATACCCCTCCAAAAATTGTGTTTTTTTTTAATTATCAGTCGCCTATCTATCAAATGAGGTTAATTTACACACATTTTTAAATTTTTTTTAAACAAACCTTCAAATTATTTAATGAAATGCAAAGTTAAAAACATAAATTGGAAGACTGACAAGGGTAACCTTGGGATTTTCGAATTTTCATGAATTTTCATAAGTGGGATGACTTTTATATTTTTCATATGACGTCTCCAAAAGTGTTTAACCATCGAACTCGGAATAGACTACAATTAAATAAAAAAATAAATAATTATAACAATATTTTTTAGTCGATACAAAATTAAACAACACGTGAAATTTTAGTCGCACCCGTCAAAATAAATTTCGTTGTCCAAACTGCTAAACACATCATGGAAAATTCGTTCGATGAGTGGATTTTTTTCCACTTTCGTTTTTTCCAAATCAGCGCGAATTTCATTTTTTAGATCTTCGAGAGCGTTTCGAGTATACTCGAAACTTCCGAAGCTGTCCATTATGTTTACAAAAAGTTTCTTAGTTTCCATGTCCAGTGGTCTTTTTTTCAACAGATCTAACAATTAAGATATGGCATTAAGAAAATCATACGTGACTCTGTATACAAGATTGATAAAATATTTTGTATGAAGGATACCCAAAAGGCGACGATCGTTGGGATGACTCCGAATGGCATGAATTATGGGGTAGCTAAATTTTCCCTCATCTAGATCATCGCAAAAAACGCGAACAGTTGCGTACTGGAAAATTAGTTAAAAAAATTGAAAGTGGCCAATGATTGTGTTACCTTAGTGTTGTGCAAGTTTATATAGTCGTTGTATATCTGAAGAAAATAACATAATTTATCAACTACGTCAAAATTAAATTCAGTTGTCTCTTTTTTGGCGAGTAGTTTTAACAACTGGATTCCCCACATCACAGGATGGGAAGATTCTGAAATAAAACTTCTAAGTATATATTGACTTTAAATGCGTTGATTTTTATAGAAAAATTACGAAATTCGTTTAAAAAACAAAAATAGTATTTTATTGTGATTCTCATAATGGTAATAGGAATTTGAACTTACTCCCTCTAACGATAGTTCTGTAATCGTCAAAGGTAGGACATTTTTGGATGTCTCTGAAGTATATTTCTAGTCCTTGTCCAGTGAAGGACTGAATACCCATCTGAATAAAATGATCAACGGCGACATGCTAAATGAGAACATTCATACACCACATAAAGAAAAAAAAAATTTTTTTACTTTCATCTTTTCTAAATGAGGTGTTAGAATATGAGACAATTTACAAGCCATATATACTACAGCTTGCACTGTCAGCGGAACTCCATAAACCTCGTGAGCTGAAGAAATTCCTCTACGAAGCTTAGTTTCGTCCTCGAGATCATCTACCACAATAAAAATATCATATGCAGTATCTGAAAAATCAGCAAAAATTTTTTGCGCGTCTTTGGGACACTTGATCCAAAAATTATAAGAATGGATGGATCGTTTCCAGAGGTTCAGCGTTTCTGATCCAGGCTGTGAAACATGTTTGATGGGTCGTGCTAATATCTGCAAGAAGTAGTCTGTTAATAGGACAACAGGACTCACTTGCGAATGTGGATTACCTCTTCCTCTTGGGATTGAGGGTCAGATTTATTGCTCGCTGCCATCTTAAGACTCTATTTCGTGTTAGTTTTGTTTACTGGGATTAAATTTAGCACGGCCAGTTCATTAAAACTGTTTTTTCAGGAGCTGCACTTGTAACAAAAATGCAATTTAAGGGGTCTACGGCGGCCTTGACGATAAAATTTTATTATCAATTAAACTTTATCAGTGGTGCTTAAAAACTAAAAAAGTAAGTTGTGACGTAATGAGTATCTACATACATAAATCAAACGCGTAAATGACGCCATGAAATTGATAAAAAAACGAAAGCTGTCACAGATTATCGAATTTTTAGCCCGAAACAAGAGGAGTGGCAGACGTGCGACGTAAGCAATGTCTGCTATATTCATCGGGATTTTCCAATTTTAAAAATTTAGCTACTTCTCGTGGAACATCGTTAATCTTGTGAATCCCAATTACTTGTCGCTGACACTTTCCAATTAGGTATTTAACCAAGAATCGACGTTCATGAAAATTTTTTGCTCGAAGAGATATATATTTCTGGTAAATATCAAAATATTTTTCCCCCATAACGGTAAATGATGTTGGCTGTTTAGTTTTCGTACGAGGAATCGTAACCTCTATAATCCGAAACCACGATTATCCGAACACCCAGTAATCCGAACAGAGGCTAGTTGAAGTCGATATCTCTTTAATCCGAACAAAAATTCTGCAATCCGAACTGAACTTGAAAACATGCAGCTACTTTTTTGAAATTTTTAAAAATTGTGATATTTCAGTGCACTGAATCTGAATCTACAAGAATTATATTTTAAATTTCGAAAATCACAAACTCTTCAGCTTTATAATATAAGTATAGATTTTGCGGATATTTTTTTTTGTAATGTAATAATGATAAAATAAATATAATATAAATTGTTTTTAATAATTATTAAAATTAATCCGGCTTTAAAAAACGTGGTTCAAGTACAACGCATTCTGAGTATTATTAATACTGTCCTTGTCAGTCTTGTAATTTATCTCTTCGCATCAAAACAACAAAAAGTTTAACTTTGCATTTAATTTAAATAATTTGGACATTTTGCTAAAAAAGCTTCAAAATTTGAGCGAAATTATCGCGTTAAATTTCATAAATGCACGAATATCATTTAGGATTATGATAATTTATGAAATGAGAGATGTTAAAAACCAAATTCTAAACGGTTATAGATAAACTATTTTACAAGTTAAAGAAGCGTGATTTACGACCCCAAAATAGACCGGCGCCTGATATACAAATTTGGAAAACATCTTTTTGGAGGAGCACTTCCGTATAAATAGCTTAAGGAGGAAATAGAGCCCAGAGTCCTTTAAACCAATTCTCGATTCATCAGTTTTTAAATTTTTTACTTGTCTTCACGATTTTCCATTGCTCGATTCCTCGATCGTCTGATTGTTCGATTTCTCGATGCTTCAGTTTTTAATTTTTTCGATTTTTTATTTTTGGGCTTTTCGATTTTTCGACTTTCCAATTTTAAAATGTTTTCGATTCTCCAGTTATCCGATTTTTCAGTTTAGCGATTTTTAGATAAATAAATTTTGCGATATTTTAATTGTTCAATGTTTCAAATTTTAGATTTTTTGGATTTCCCGATTTTTTTTATTTTTCGGTTCTTCAATACTTCTATTTTTCAATTTTTCAAATTTTGACGTTGTTAAATTGTCAGTTTTCCGATTTCTCAATTAATTTATTTTTGATCTTCTCAAAGTTTCGATTTTTCAGTTGTTTAATTCTTCGATTTTTCGTTTTTTCGACTTTGCTTTTTTGGTTTTTCGATTTCTCAATTTTTCCATATTTCTTTCCGTTTTGGGATTTTTCAATATTTCGATTCTTCGACTTTTGGATTTTTCGATTTTTTATTTTCTGGATTTTCACTTTTTCGTTGTTTAAACTTTTTCAAAATTTCGATTGCTTTATATTTCGATGTGTCAATTTTTCAGTTGTTTTATATTTTAATTTTTCTATTTTCCAAAGTCTTAAATTTTCGATTTTTCAATTGTTTGAGATCTCGATTTATCGAGATTCGGATGTTTCGATGTCTTGATTGTTCAATCTCTCGATTTATGAATTTTTCCATTTCTAACTTTTCGCTTTTAAGACTTTGCCTTTTTAGTTTTTCGATTTCTCAATTTTCAATTTTTCAACTATTTTATACTTCGATCCCCCAATTTTTCAGTTCTTCTATATTTAAATTTTCCAATTTTGTTTTTTAAAATTTTTCGATTTTTCAATTTTGTGATTTCTCGATTCATCAGTTTTTCAATTTTTAACTTTTCTTCACGAACTTCCACTCCTCGATTTCTCGATCGTCTGATTTTTCGATTTCTCGATGTTTCAGTTTTTAATTTTTTCGATGTTTCGATTTTTATTTTTGGGTTTTTCAACTTTTCGATTTTCCAATTTTTACATGTTTCGATTCTCCAGTTATCCGATTTTTCAGTTTATCGATTTTTAAATAAATAAAGTTTGCGAAATTTTAATTGTTCGATGTTTTAAATTTTAAATTTTGACGTTGCTAAATTCCCAGTTTTCCGATTTTGCCATTTCTCGACTTCCCAAAGTTTCGATTTTTCAGTTCTTTAATTCTTCAATTTTTCGTTTTTTCGACTTTGCTTTTTTGGTTTTTTGATTTCTCAATTTTCCAGTTTTTAATTTCTCAATTTTTGGATATTTCGTTCCGTTTTGGGATTTATCAATATTTCGATTCTTCGACTTCTGGATTTTTCGATTTTTTATTTTCTGGATTTTCAGTTTTTGGTTTTTTAAACTTTAGATTTTTCAAATTTTTGATTTTATTTAGATTTCTCAATTTTTCAGTTCCTCTATATTTTAATTTTTAAATTTTTCGGAAGTCTTAAATTTTCGATTTTTCAATTGTTTAAGATCTCGATTTATCGAGATTCGAATGTTTCGATGTTTTGATTTATGAATTTTTCCATTCCCAATTTTTGGATTTTCGATTTTGGCCTATTCAGTTTCTCAATTTTTCCTCTTCTCGACTTTTCGATTCCTGGATTTCTCGATCTTTTGATTTTTCGAATTCTCAAGATCTCAATTTCAATTTTTCGATATTTCAATTTTTCTTCTATTTTTCAATTTTTCGATATCTCACTTTGCGATTTTTTAGTATTTCGACTTTTCGAGTTCTGGATTTCTTGGTTTCTCGACTTTTTACTTTTTGAATTTTCAATTTTTCGTTTTTTAAATCTTCAATTTTCGAGTTTTTACCTGTTTCGATTTTTCAGTTTATCGATTTTTAAATTTTAGATTTTCCAATTTTTCGATATTTGGATTATTCAATGTTTTCAATTTTAGATTTTTCAATATGTCTATTTTTCAATTTTTCGATTTTTTAATTTTGCCATCTTGGCTTTTCGATTTTTAAAATTGTTCGACTTTTTGCTTTTTAGATTTCCCGGTATTTTAAGTTTTCGATTTATAAATTTTTTCAACATTATCAGTTTTAGGAAATCAGTCATATCGTGGCGAGTACCACTAGATTTTTCAGTTTTTCGATTTTTCAACTTTCGAATTTTTCAATTTCTCGCTTTTTAAATTTTCAATTTTTTGATCTGTCTTTCAATTTTTGATTTCTCTGGGCAACTGAAAAAAACTTTCGATTGTTTTAATTTTACAATTTTGGCAGTTTTCCGATTTCTCAATTATTTGATTTTTAAATATATCGAGAAAATAGATGTATATTTTTTAAAATTTTCGATTTTTGATTTTTGTCACCGAGTTTTTGGAAGGAAGTAAAAAGTAATTTTGATCAGCGATTGCCATGTTCACCGTAACTATAAAACCTCCAAAAATTTTGTTTCTAATTTTCAGTTTTTGGATTTTTCGATTTTTTAAAATTTCAGTTCGAATAAATTTGTTCTTTTAGTAAAAAATCGAAAAATGACAAATTGTGAAAATGAAAAATTTTAACTTTAGTACTTGAAAAATTAAAAATCAAAAAATCCAAAATTGTAAAGTTAAACCTTGAAAAATCAAATGATTGAAATTAAAAACTCCAATATTGTTAAAAAAATTATCAAATGAAATATTCAAAAGTTGAAAAATCTATCAAAGGACAAAGGGCGAAAAGGACGAAGGACGAACAGGACGATTTTTCAATTCTCTATTTTCTTCATTTTTTCGATTTGCAAAACTGAAAAATCAGTACGAAAAATTGCAAATTCTGAAAATTCAAAAGTTGGGAAATTGAAAAACTAAAGAATTTAATCTTGAAAACTCGAAAAATTGCAAATCTAAAACATGAAGAAACAAAAAAAAAAGAAAAATTGGAAAATTGCGTTCCGAAAAATTGAAGAAACTGAAAATTGAATGAAAATGAACTGGAAAAATCTAAAATTAACAAAATGATAAATTCAAAAATCAAAGGGTTGAAAAATCCAAAATGGCAGATCGAAAAATAGAAAAATCCAAAAACTGAAAATTTTAACATTGAAAAAAAAATTATACAATCCGGTCATTGAAAAACTGTAAAATTGAAAAAATAACGAAAAATTGGAAAGCTAAGAAAATAAAAAAACGAAATGAAAAATTACAAATCGAAAATTTGGCGAAATGAAAAATTAAACAATCGAAAAATTGAAAATTCGGGAGATTTTAAATCAAACAATTGCAAGGTCTAAAAATTGAAGAAATAAAAAAAATTAACGATTTAAAAAACAAAAATTATTAATTGAAATATTGAAAAATCGAACAATTGAAAAAACAAAGAAAATAAAAAAACGAAACGAAAAATTGCAAAGCGAAGAGGATGAAAAATTAAAATTGAAAATTCGAGAAACTCAACACGAAAAATTAGTTAATCTAAAAATTAAAAAATTCACAAGTTGGAAAATTGAAAAACTGAAAAAGTTGAACTTGAAAACCAGAAAAATTGAAAGAATATGAAACTGGAAAAATCTAAAAATGAAAAATGAAGCATTCAAAAATCTAGAGGTCAAAAAATCGAAAAATCGCAGATCAAAATAGTGAAAAATTTCGCACTGAAAAAAGAAAAATTGAAAAAATAAAGAATAAAAGACCAAAATGAAAATTTGAAGAAATGAAACATTAAAGAATCGAAAAATTG